CACAAGTACTCCTGTTCTTCTTTTTGCGGATACAGACTAACACGGCTGTTACTCTGAAACTACAAATAATGTAATCCTTTTATAATGAAACTCATGCATGTAGCTATTTAGCCTGTCCTAGTTATTTATGTCCTAGGTTTATATCTGTCGCTTCCAGCTGGGGAAGTAGCCATTCCAGGGTCTATATGTTCACTGCCTTCCCTCCAATGGTAACTTGTCTCTAATGAATGCAGATTAATCTCAGAATTCAGTAGTGAGCTCTCACTTTCCTGCTAATGGCCTGATTGCAGCCATTTGTCAGGGACTCAGAATAAGAATTGATCATTTATTCCTAAAGTGACCAGATGTCCCAATTTTATAGGGACAGTCCCGATATTTGGGGCTTTTTTAATATGGGCTCCTATTACCCCCCACTCCGTCCCGATTTTTCACACTTGCTATCTGGTCACCCTATTTATTCCACATATTTGAATGGAACTGACTTGTTTAGTTTGATCTGACTGAGCCAACACTGCCATTTGCTGAAGCTAGGTGTTTTCAATCTCTGGGCCAAAGCTTTTAGTTGAAGACTAGCCAAGAGCTTTGCCAGTCCAGACACTTGAGTTATGCATTCTCCGTCAGGCTGGTGGAAAAATTAAAACTAACTAAACTTAAATTGACATTGTTTATCACTTAGACCAAAACCCTGACTTCTTCCTGTGTTGTTTCCTCTACCAAATGAAACAGCTGGCTTCCAAGATGCAGGATAAGCAGTACCCTCATGAGAGGAAACCATTGCAAGTTGAAGTACCCTGCTTCCAAATGCAGCATCTGTCAAAGCCCACTTGTCTAATCTAGTACTTTCTGAAAATAAAAACAGGACTCCAAGCTATGTTTTTACAGCTGATGAATTTGGGGTGTGTGTGTGTGTAATATAATATAAAGAGGCACAGACAAAATGTACCAGCAGCAGAATTGTGTATGTCAAAGGGTACCACTGCAAAGTAATCGTGAAAAGGTAGCTTTGGTGGTTTGTAAAGGCATCAAAACCCTGAGATTGATATCTAGATCCATGGAAGTTGCATTACTTTGCTGCTGTATCAGTTTATGCATACTGTATAATTTATACCACCATTCACATCACCATCGATTTTGGGCCACAATATGTGTTAGTGGGATTCTGCAAGGGCTCCTCTTAAATTTCATATTCTGATTGTGGAAACAGTTACTTCAGCATCATGGAATTCAAATGAGAGGACTCTCCCTACGTACCTAGTCTGCTTTCTCAAGGGCCAGTATAGCTATGAGCATGGGCTAGAGAGGGGGCCACATTCTGCTTTCAGTTGCAGCAGTGTAAATCCAGTGTAACTCAAGTAACTGGAGTCTCATTGGACTTAATTACTGTTACTGAGGCAAGCCCCCAATTCACCTGCAATCCATTTAACCTTTCAGATTTAATTTTGAAAAATATTTAAGACTGGATGCAAAGGGGAAAGACATACTTTATAACAGGATGAAATAGTGGGATTTGGGGAGGAGAGAATTATATATAAAAAGTGGAGAGCAGAAAGTGAGACTAACCACGATGCTTAGATCTGTCTGCTTGCTGTCACCTAATTTATCAATGAAGCGTAAAGAACTAGTCTTAAGGTGTACATCTCCTAGGCTGTTTTTATTAATTTGGAGGATATTACTTGATTTTTAACAAAATATATATTTTAAATAAAATCCTTTACACAGTGTCTCTTTTTCCTAAGCCTTTCTCAGTAAATCACAATATCCGTGATTGACGCTTCTTAGATGTGTATTTATGTGCACATATTCACTAACCCTAAAGCACAAATAGCAACATGCCCTGTGAAAAGCAAGTTGTTTTTACAGCCTTCCCTTCTGCATAAAGGGCAAAATAACTCACTCACATTTTCTCTTGCTTCTTTTTCACCTCCAAGGGGAAGGTTGGATATTTCTGCCGTTTGTGCATTCAGTATGAAAACTGTCCAAGAAGTCTTCGCCAAAGGAAACTATAAAGGCCCAGTGACTGTGGAACATTCCCATGTTAAATGGATGGTGTTCAGGGGAGAAGTGCCACTCCCACGTCCCGGAGCTGTAAATACTCATTTATTCTCTTCTAAAGAAAACATTCTCTTAATTTTCTTTTCTGCTAGAGAATTACTAGTCCAGATTTTGCCAGTATAGATGCAGTTCCATGGCCAGCACAGAGACATCTTTCCCCCATCCCAGGCCTGTGTGTGTGTGGAGGCCCCCTGAGTAGGCACTCATCCTGCTCAACTCTACCACAGGGGCTAGGGGGTGCGACTATCCTTACACAGGTCTTCAGCACCGGGGTGAATTTCATGCATAGTGAATGATGGATTCCCATTGTGGAAGTTGGGTAGAAATAGCTAAAAGTTTAGTACATAGTAACAGTTGTCTGTAAATTGGTGGAATGTAAAAATGGTTGTAATTATGTTTGTTGTACATTGTTTCTAGTGCATTGATAATTTTGCCCGGAGTATTGGATACAACACTTCTCTTGATTTGCCTGATAAAATTCTGCAGTTTGTTAGAGACCACCCTTTAATGGATAATGCTGTAAATCCAATTGGTGATAGGCCTGTGCTACTGAAAAGAGGTTCAAATTACACCACGATTGTAGTAGACAGAATCACTGGCCTAGATAAAAAACCATATGATGTTCTGTTTATAGGAACAGGTAAGTGGTTTTATTTGGGGGCAGGGGGGAGATTTATTATGGAAGAGTTCGTTTTAGAATTTTTTTCTGAGCCTTCGAAAAGTAAAAGGATCTACTGACTCCTAATAATGCACCAAAAATCCTTTGTCTTAATTCACCACTTTATAATGTATCAGACAGCAACCAGGCAGGGGGTTTATATAATGGGCCTTCCGTTTCCTTTTTCCTCCAAGTTATGTTTCTAGCTGAACTGCTTTATTTCCCCAGTGTAAGATACTGTGTATTGTGTGAGGACAGATTTCATCTTATGGGCCCTCCTTCAGTAAAACTCCTAATGCTTGAATCAGTGGGACTTGCGTGGAGCTTTGTTGAATTGAAGCCATTGCGTTTGCAGTTAGATAGATGTAATTTTTGAGTGTAGAGCAGGCCTTAGTGTAATGTTTGATGAATGGTGTTTTATTGTCTGTTTCTTTCTTTTTTTAAAGCTTGCGTAGATATAGTTCATAACCTATGTTATCATTAGTTTTATTCAGAATAATAATTTTCTTTGTAGCCTCACTGTTTTCTTTTGGTCAAGAGGTCTGCAATGATAGCTATTTTCTACTTAAACACTTTTAATATAGAATAGTGGCACTTAAAAATATACCAAGGCTTTCAAAAAATTGTCATGGAAATGTCCCCAGCTGGCTTTCCCTAGGTAAGGCCCATTTTGCTGTGACATAAGTGGTGCATAGATCTTGCTGGCTCTCCACATATGGGTGAATCTTGCACAGGATGAAGGGACTTCTGGTCAAGACTATTACCAAAAGCCATGAATTTCTTGAAGGAAAGGGTAAAATCTTTGTACAAGAGCAAGGAAGCAGAAGCTGACTTGCCAGTTTGGAATTTCCAGCCCAGCTTCTAGGTAAAGTGTGTGTTTGTTTTGTTGGACATTGAGGATCTATTTGGAAATCTTCCATATCAGAAGAGCCTCAATGTGGGGAAATCTTCCAAAATCAGGGACTTCTCCATTGCTTCAAAAAATCATTACTTCTTACTTACCAGAAAGTGAATGGAGAAAATATTGCTGTGGAACATTTAGGAAGTTTCCTGTCCTCAAGATTCATTTTCTAAATCTCTAGAAAAGGCTGATGAATTTGAAAACTGAAGTGAAAATGCTGTTATGTTATGTTTGAACATGTTTCTCTTTAAAAATACATTTCATTTTATGCAGATAATGGATATTTGCATAAAGCTCTCAACTGCGACGGGGAAATGTTCATTATTGAGGAGATACAGCTGTTTCAGTCCCCAGAGCCTGTACAGTCTCTTAAACTGTCTTCCAAAAAGGTAGATTCTCTATCTCTGCATATGCAAAGGGATTGGTATAATGGTATGCTTCAGGCCTTCCTCTTTTTACACTGTGCATCTGGATTTTCGATGTTATGTGTATACTGCATACTCTTTTCTAGCATCACACTGATTAATAATAAAAGCATATATGAGATTTTATCTGTGGAAGTAGATTTCTTTTGCATTTTAATATAACTGAAACAAACTTTCAAACACACATTTGGCAATTTATATCACTTTTAGTCAAAAGCAATTCCCAAAGTTTTCATACAGACTGTAATCTCTTCAGGCCAGGAATCTTGTCTTTTCATATGTTCTGCAAAGCACTGTGTATATTCTCATGCTCTTTCATTAGTAATCTATTATTTCAAAGTATATAGTTGATTTATTGTCAGATCACAGAAGTTGCTGTCTGGATGCCATAAAGTTTAAAAACTTTCACAGTGCTATAAAATAACAGCTCAATGCTACATTTCTAGGGCCTGCTGTATGTAGGGTCTCCATCCCAAGTGGTACAACTCCCTGTTTCAGTATGCAGCCGATATAAACACTGCTTGGATTGTGTTTTGGCAAGGGATCCTTATTGTGCGTGGTCTGAGTCTTTTGAGAAGTGTTCTCCAGTGGCTAATCAAACAGGAAACTTGCAGTAAGTAAAAAGATATTGCTTGAGGTCCATACCTGAGCTGATATTTATCTTGCTTTTTAAATTCAGTTCTACAAGTCAGTAAAATGTAACAAAACCAGGATGCATTCTACAGCTAATATCCTAAAAGTTTGAACATTTTTACATGCCTTCATGGTGTATTTCTTTTATTCATCTCTCTCTTCCTCTAGGGATTTAATTCAGAGTGTTAAAAATGGTGATGCTTCCAAATGTCCTAAAATAGGTACGTGAACATTTATCTTTAATAAAATATTGTTGAAATATAGTACAAAATGAAAATATTCTATCATGTGGGTCATATATCTGTGGTCATTGAAATGTCTGATATTTTAGCTAAATTAAAATACAACCCAGGGGTAAAAATGATATTGATTCTTGACAAGAAAACCCTGAGCTGATTTGGCTTGTTTGTTCTTAATGGTTTTGAACTTGGGGTCAGGATATTCTAGTTCAGACTGAAACCACTAATCTCATGAAAAGTAGAAAACGTGAGCCATGACTTTTGAGGCTGTTGGTATGTTTCCCCCCCTGCTACAGAAGTCACGTGGGACATAAGAAGTCCTGTTAGCTCTGTTACTGCGACTGACACTTGGTATTGCTCTGCAGAAATACAGCTCAGATAGTCAGCTATTTTTAAAAAAACTGCTGGTTCAGAGAGAGAAATTTTAAAATATGAATTTGTGATTAATTTTTTAAAGTTTTTAATGTTTAAATGTTTGCAGGATTAGGGACTTTAATCTTAAACTGCACTGAAAACTAAGGGGCAGCTATTGCAGATTATAGGTCATCAGTGTAATGTAGTAAAGTCGAAAGCATTTGTATCCTCAAAGCCCTGTCCAAGCAATATCTAATCCTCACACCTGCTTTGTGAGGCTAGAACAGCAAGTGTGCAAATTGGGTGTAGAAATTGAGGCACAGAAAGGTGAAGAGATTTACTCAAGGCTACATACTGTGTTAGTCTGTGGCAAAGTGAGAATTTAAACTCAAGTTCCTGAATTCCAGCCCATATTCAGACTGTTAGATATCACTGGGAATAAGGCCAGCTAGAACCAATCTGTGCTATCATGCCCTTTTAGCAGATGGGAGGAGACAGTTAAATCTGTCGATTTCTCTAGTTTATTCACGCACCTTAAAACACTCACTGTCCTTTGTGTCATGTTCCTTAATTAATCGTGATGTTTCTTTGAACATAAATGTGGCCAGGCAGGTTAAATTAAGGCTTCATTGTTTTTAATTAAACCACCCTTCACAATTTCAGGAAATAATGTCAAAAACTGTCCCGTTAGCATTGGCAACAGTGTTCATCTTAAATGCGCGCCCATGTCCAACCTGGCTAGGATGGTGTGGAAGTTTAATGGGAGCAGTCTTCAGGCAGAAGATTCTAAATACCTACTTTATGATGGAGGAATAGTCATATTTAATGTGACAGTGGCTGATGCTGGATTTTATGACTGTCATTCTGTAGAGAGCGCTAATGGGAAAGAATTCCCTGTTACTGTGGCTAGCTACGTTCTTTATACCCAACAGGACAGCGTTTTCATTATTACTAAGAATTACACCACAAATCAACCAAATGCAGACACAACTCTGAAGGTTAAATCTTTGGTATCATCTTCCTTGCTGAATGACCCAGCAAAACAAAAATCCCTGGAAGACCAAAAAGAGAAGCTTATTTTAAAATTCTTGGGAGCTGGATTTGCACTCCTTTTTTCTTCCTTGCTGGTTTGGAACTTTTCCAAAGGCCATCTGTCTGTGCCTTGGAAGAGCAGAGAAAAAAGCTCAAAAACAGCGAATGCAGATTGTTTGCCAGGTCCAACATTGGCTACAGAGGGGTCGGACGCTATGAGGAAAAGTTCAGCCACGCGAACAAACACCTCCACTGTTAATGAATCAGTACCACTTGTGAGCTTTCCTTCAGAAGAGGAACGCAGCGCTAATATACAACACAACACAAGTTCACAAAGAGATCTGGCACTTGCAGCTCACAAAGCTGTTTGGTTGAGGATGAGACGATGTTTCCTATTGAGGAATGTGGAATGTAAAGTTTGAGTAGGAATCACAAGCCCAAAATCTAGTGAGCCAAGCTGCTAAACATACATTCATTTTCAGTTGCTGCTTTTGAAAAAGATTGTTACATCAGTTTTTGGTATTTGTTTAACATGTGTTGCAAGAATAAACGTTTGTTAAAAGTTGGTATTGAGCTCCTTTTCTGTAACACTGTGTGTTGCTGCACCATTATAGACATTAAAACTTCAGGAGCTGTTAATAATCTTCAGCACTTAAATAGTGCTTTTCACCTTCAGAGGGTGTCTATTTACTCTACAAATACCACCTTATTAAGTCTTCCAATGTCCCTGTGTAGGTATTATCCCCATTGTACAAATGAGATTAAAGGACATGCTCATGGCCACAAATGGAATCGGTGTCAGAGCCGTGGATTAGCGATTAGAAATTCCTGACTAATCTTCCTGTGCTCACACCACTGACCACGAAGCCTCCATCTTTCTCTCTCTCTCTCTCTTCTTAGGTCTTTAAATCTTCAAGGCATTGTACACACATTAATCTAAGTTCCTAAAGTATTGTAAAGAAGGTCATTAAAAGGTATCTCTCTCTGTCCCAAACAGCCTCATGCCCCAGTTCACGTACTGCATAACTGATGCAAATGTATTACCTCAGAGCATGGCCAAAATCCAGGTACCATAACCCTGTTTGTTAAATATCTTTGAATACCCTATATATTCGCCTGAAACAGTCTCCATCTCCTCCTTGGAGAGCAGCCTAGGTTCTCCACACTGAAGTCCCCAAACAAAGAGCTGTTCTGCCTCTCTCCATGTCTAGTGCCAGAGGCATGCAGAGAGTGAGTGGATTCCACTGCTTTCTTCTCTCCTCTCCCAAACATGTACAGTTTGCTTTCTCCAGTTCTCAAGTAGCCTTAGAAGCAGAAGTTTCCAGGCCTGCTTTGAACCTGACTCTCCTGGCCAGAAGCACTTTTCTGCCACACCACCACATTTGCTTTAAAAAGATAATTGAAAAAGATGCTTAGAAACCAGGGTGATGAGCGCAGTATAATGATCGATAGAGAAAAGACCAAATCAGTTGTTGTTTAATGTTTCCTTCACACTGTGGGTTAAAGTGTTTTTACACTAAAGTAGAGTGCCAATCTCTCCTTTTGAATCCATCTTTTATTCCTTAAACTGTGTGCTTTATAATAAGGGCCTCTTGTATATCGTTATGTGCAAATGCCACACAAATTGTGGCTTCTGTTGAAACATACTAAACACTCAGCAATGTTCATGTTCCCAGATCTCTATATTTGGCAGTTTTGCAGATGCTAATTAATAACCATTTGCACTTTTCAAGGAAAGAGCTAAAGGTGGGAATAGCCATTTGCCTTTCTAGCAGGATCGAGTAATGGGGTTGGAGAGTGAGAAGAGGATTTTACATAAAAAATGTACAGCTGAAAATGAAAAGACTGAAGAGCTGCTGCGAAACCATAATGCTAAGGCTTCTCTGACTGCAATCACCCGTTGTATCAATGAACTGCAAAGAGCTAGTTTGAAGGTGTGTATCTTGGCCAGTGAATGTGATTTGAAAGGGATTGTACTGCCGTTAAGAATACCCTTTAGGCAGCGATCTGTTGTGTGGTCTTGACTGAGTTCTGAGCCACTGTGTAAAGAGCTGCGGGAAGATTAATGGTGCAAACTTGACAATAGGTGTGTAACTAATGACATGGGGGTGATCACAATATCTCATTTCTGTTCTCTTCTGGAGGGCAGGAAACAATAACTGCCTCCCTCAGGGGGAGAAGGCACAAATGGAACAAAAACCCTGTTAAAGGACACCTCATAAGGTTACTAACACCTGCTTTTAGTGCAATTCCTGCTGATCTAATTACCCTAATTTTAACATGTAAAATAATTAGCTTCTGAGAAGAGCCATAGATAACCTACTGTTAGCAGGTCAATATGAAAGATATTGTGTGTCCTACTTTCAGCAGAGTCTTCAGTGTGGTTTATTTTAGTCCCTTTGTCATTGGTGGCCAGGTTGTGCGTATGAAGGACAGAGAAAATGGAGCAGAAGGAGTAAGGACCCAATTCATCTCTGTCCTGGCGTTGAACTTGGTTCTGGGCCTGGGAGAGGAGGCAGTCCTGGAGCTGCTGGTTCATCTGCCAGCTCAAGTTAGAGAGGCATCAGAGGCTGTTTTCACCTGTTGCTGTGGCCTTTCTGACTATGCCCCAGTGTCCACCTGAGAAATTTCAAAATGTTCCCATAATTTCTAACACTTGTTCAGCTCCACTGGTGTCAGTGCTGGGAGCTCTGGTATAGATGGGTCATTGGCTGCTGCATCATCTCACCTTTCTCAGTAAAGCTGACATCATGGTTAAAACATTGGCACTAGGGGTTCCCAGCACTGTGAACGCTGCTGACAAAGGAAGAGGATTTTAGATACATTTCCCTTCTGTGTATACTGTGAAAGGTTGCAGGTGGAGGGGATACCCCGATAGAGAGAGGAGGGGGAGGAGCAGCAGTACTGTTGCAGTATCTAAAGGTCCGAGACAGGCACCAGGCCCTGTTCTGCCAGGCACTCTGCACAAATATAACAAAAAGTCCCGTGCCCCAAAGAGCTTACAGTCTGAGCGAGGGGAAACCTCATGTTTGTCATTTTTATATAAGCTCCGTCTGAAAACTGCTAAAAGAATGGATGCTACCCCAGCATTTCCTTGAACATGGGCACAGCTTATCATTGTCGTGCAAGCCTGCAGTGCCCAGAAGTTATTAGGGCATGGAAAAGTTAATGTGCAGAACCGGCTGGAATTAATGCAAACTCTCTTGGGGAAATTCCTTATTAATGCAGGTGACCTAATAAAATCACAAGCAAAAAATGAGCCACGGCTCCTCCAGTAGCCACACAATGGAACACCACTGGCGATCTGGTCAGGCGAGGCCTGGCGTTAGACTAGTGGGGGGTTGAGGCACAGTGGCAGTGCTGTTTGTGGGAGCCCTGTGACTAGTACCGCTATAAATCAAGACTGAAGCGCATTGGCAGAGCTGTGTTCATGGGGATGTGGAGAAGTCCTGGAATACTGTCCTGCTGCAGGCCCACGTGCATTGCTAGAAACGTGAATGTGAGCACTTGCACAACTGTTGCCTGCTCTAGTGAGTGCATGTGCTCACACACTCAGACCCAGGTGCAAACATAGCTGCCAGAATTTAATGTGCAAAGTATCTGCAACAGACCATTGATTTCTCCCACACACACACCTCAAATGTAGTGGATACTGTTCAAGACGAGATGTGATTTATTTATTTTATTTTTTTGGTCCCTATGACAGAAAGACACTGCTGTTCACAGCAGGGGCCTATGTTTGTACTGCATCCAGAATGCTTCCTATGAGTACCCTGCGATCTCTACACGATACAGCTGTGCTGCTGCAGTGTGTGTGGTGAAGACACCCTATGGCGACGGGAGAGAGCTCTCACTGCAGCATAAAATAACCACCTCAGTGAGCGGCAGAAGCTATGGTGGCGTAGTGCTGTGCACACGAGTGCTTATGTTGGGGTGACTTATGTCACTCGGGGGGAGGGGTTGGAATGCCAACACCCCTGAGCGACATACGTTTTGCTGTCATAAGTGGGAGTGTAGACATAACTGTGTGTTCTTTATCAACAACTTGGAGACAAATATTTAGGGCCTGATCCTGTATTGCTCTGCTCTGTGTCTCATCATTTGCAGCTGAGCAAAGGGAATGTAAAATGCTGCTCTTCTAATCTGGTAGCACTTTGCATTCTGCCCTGGCACAAATGATTGAACAAGGTGCAGGTCATCCAACTATGTAGGGCTAAGTTCATCCCTGGTGTAATGCTGGGGAAGTCAGTGGACTTCCAGCTGGGAAGGGTCTGGCCCATTGTGTTTGGACAGCACCCAGCACAATGGGGCTCCAGTTCTGATTGGGGACTTGAGTATTATCGTAATAAGTATATTTACTGCAACTGCTAAGCTACCTGCTATCTGCATGAAGATATATTTTCTTTAATATTGTCTAATCTATTTCCATCCCTAGATCCTAGTGCTTCAGTTTGTCTGTCTGTCCCCATCTCTAGATTCAGGTGTGTTTTTCTATCCATCCAACCTGCCCTTTATTCATACATCTTCTCTAGGGGCCTCATTCTCCACTGCTTCAAACCTAGTTCAGCTATTTCCACCTGTGCAAATTGGATGTAAAATGCGAGCAGATCAAAATGTCCGTGTTTCACACTCGCTCTGCACAGCTGCAGATGATGGCGCAAGGAACAGGGCAGTAGAGGGATCAGGCTCTGTCTTTCTGAAAGGTTCTGGCTAGATTTAGATAAAAGATGTGGAGTTTGGTTTTTTAAACGTTAGCCAATATGTTTTAAAACGGGTCAGCAACGTCTCCGTGGTAAAAATGTTGAGGTCGGTGGTAATTTTTTAAAAAATGGAATGACTGAATGACATAACCCCTTGCCAATGTCCGTCACTAAGTCCGGTAATTTTGTCAGGTGTCCATCACACAACATGGTGGTGCCAACCCTTGTTTTAAAATGTTAATGTAGAAAGGGTAAATTGTATTTTAACATGGACTAGCTGATCAAGCAGCTTTGATCCTAATCTAGACAAACCCAGAGTCTTTATCTATTAGATTTTACAGCTTAAGAAAGTCCAGAAATGGAGGAAGTGGGAAGTGGGGTTGGGACATCTTTGCGCTGGGCTGGTATCTAGCAGCTTGGTGTTGCAGTGGGTGCAGAGTGCAGCTGTGCCCAGCAGATGGTGCCTCTGAGCCAGATGGAACCCATTGGAAATAAAGTGAGGAGAAAGAAAAGAGAAATGTGATGAGATGGGGCAGTTGGCAGAGGAAGGAAGCAGATAAAAAAAATGAGAGAGAGAACAAAGAAATCGCGACCAAGACGAACAAACTGTGGAGGCAGCTTCACTTTGGGGGCTGTGGAAAGAACTTCCAGGGTATCTCAGTCGCTGGAATAACAGGGAGCAGGCTGCACTGCTGCAAAGGGTTTGCAAAAGGAGCAAATAATCTTGTGGCTGCTGCCCATGCTGAAGGGAAAAAGGGATCCTGTGAGCAAGAGCGAGGAGGAAACTGCCTGCCGGAGACTGCAACCTTTCAGTAGCAAAGTGTGCTCCAAAGTTCCCTCCAGGATCCCCTGGGCTGCAGCTCTTGGTGGGGAGAACCCCCACCCGGGAAGGTTGCCCTAGCTCTCACCCCCTGCCCCTCCCACGCATGCTTTGGGATTATAGGTCATTTTTGAACAAACAACAAAACTAGCGGATTTCAGAGTGAAATTCCGGAGGAAATTTAAAGAGCATCCGGATCCGGAGAAAGAGAGAGAGAGAAAGAGGAAGGAAAAAATAAATAAAAACGTGGAGTGAATCTAAGGCAACCAAAGAAGGGACGAGGAGAAAGAAACTGACACTGACGTGGAGATGGGGTGAGATTGGCAGTTTTATTATTTGTGTGTTGTTTATTGTATTAATAATTTAAAGACCCTGATGTGTTTTTAATGCAGCAGAGTTGAAGGGATAAGGATTTCGAGTTGCAGTAAAGAAATTCAAGTTTAAATGTGAAAAAGTCCCCTAAGCTTTAGGGGTTCGGGAAGTAGATAGTTTCAGAGATTTGTAACTTACCTTATGTGACCCAAGGTGTGGGTGGAAGGCTCCAAGGGGATCCATATCTTGTATAAAATTCAGAATGGCCCTTTGGGGTGAAGTAAAGCACCTACTACCTTTGCAGCCCTTCCCAGAAGTTAGAGATTTCTGATTTTGTTTTCTGTTGTGTTCAGTAAAGTGGACCCTACTTACATTTGTAAATGGGTAAATAGCTTGACTGAAAATCTCTGGTCATAACCCCTAAATTCTTTCAGGGGTGAAATATACTCTAAGTGGCTACCAGGCATTGGCATAGAAATGGGAGTTTAGCCTGGTATTTGATTTATGCATTCATAATAAACCCCAACTGTGTCATTTAAGGATCTGACATGCTGCTGTGAGTAAGTTGCTTGTGTAATGAACACTTCTGGGCCACTTAGAAGCACGCTGGAGCTGGAGAAAGCCCCTGTCTGCTCCATCTCTCCAAGACTTTGAGTTTGACATTAGAGGAGAAATAAGTAACATTTTAATGGCTTGTGTTTCTTTTGCTAAGTTTTTGATTTCCCTCTTGGGCAGCCTGGGTTAAAAGACTGAATAGGGTGAAACAGATTCAGGTGGCAGAAGGGACACAGACATTAATTCTGATCTCAGAGTCTGTGAATCTAGAGTAAATCCATTTAAGTCAGTGTGGTTTACACTGGGCCAGCTTAGGGCAGGTCTTCACTATGGGGGGGGGGTGTCGATTTAAGATACGCAAATTCAGCTACGCGAATAGCGTAGCTGAATTTGACGTATCGGAGCCGACTTACCCCGCTGTGAGGACGGCGGCAAAATCGACCTCCGCGGCTCCCCGTCGACGGCGCTTACTCCTACCTCCGCTGGTGGAGTAAGCGCGTCGATTCGGGGATCGATTGTCGCGTCCCGACGAGACGCGATAATTCCATCCCCGAGAGATCGATTTCTACCCAACGATTCAGGCGGGTAGTGTAGACCTAGCCTTAGATCAGAAACTGTCCCCTGCTTCCCTGTATCATCTCTGCAATCCATATTGTGACTCCCAAACCCTCAGCCTTGGAATTGCCAGGAAGGGTGCAGCAGGTGGATAGGTTAGGACTGGCATCTTATTTTCCAGGACTATGGGATGGATCCTTCTTCTTGGAACTGTCATGCTACACCCAATGGCTGTGCAGTTTCGTTAGAAGGTTGCCACTTCTCATGCAAAATGCTGGGATTGTGGTCACTGCGACAGAGTTCTTAGATTTCACTCTAATGATAGTGTCAAGGCAGCAACATTATAGTCAACGTGGAGATGACATTTCCACCCAACCCCCTGTCTTCAGTCACAGAGAATTGCTGAGTGGAAAGGTCTTTGTGTTGTGCATAGATTACATGGAAAGGTTGAATAGCCAGCAGCAGGTTAGTCCCCTGGATTCCCAAGAGATTAGGAAAGCGTCACCTTTGAAATGATTTCCCACCAGTAGGTTTTAGTTGATTTATATTTTAAGCAAGGAGTTAGTCCTTACCCCCCATTGACGCTTGTCAGGTTTCCTTGTAACCCTTGTTCCAGTAATATCCATGGTGTAGCTTTCATGGATAATTCATTCCTGAACTCGAACATATCTCTGGCGTACTGTAGGTTTTAGAGCATTGCCTTTGTACCTTTAAATAGCTAGTTGTAAATGTCACTTGGGTCACAAGGGAAGTGAATTCAGTCACCTCCTAGCTGAGCCCATACTGGGCATTTGTCCACATTTCAAACTAGCACAGGACAGGCTGAGGAAAGGCCTAGCGTTGGCTGTTGGTCATGCTTCCGGAGCAACAGAACTAAGGTGCATTGGCAGAGCTGTGCAGGCTTCCCTGTGTGTGACCCCTGCTGTGCAAGGAAGACACATGAGCAGAAATGGGTGTGAGCACGGATGAGTGTTAAGGCCTGGAGGTGCATTAGCAATACTATATGGGAAGCCCAGGACTGGCATAGTAGGTGGGCTGCAGGTCAGGGCTGAGGTGTATCAGCAGAGCTGTGTGCACACCTACGCCTGGTACTAGCTGCTGCGATGGGTCTCGCTTTCTGGAATATGTAAATATTACTTAGATACATTCAGGACCCATACCAATGGAGGAAGTGGATTGCTGTGCATATAAGCCCCTTGGTTTGTGTGTGGCAAAGGAGGAGCCAAGAGACCTTGGAAACAGTGGGGGACAGCCATCCCAGAGTGGTAACTGTGCCAAGTACACTGGGCACCCAGCAGCAGCAGGTCATCCCTGCTCAGGACGCGCCCCTGGTGGGGATAGGATTCTGGTAGAAGAAATGCTTAACAATGTGCTGGGCCTTTAAGTGTCCCTGGTCTCCTTCCCCGTGCCTGAACTTGCATGCTTGGCATTGTGTTCCCCAGGCTAATCCGACTGGAGCATATACAGCCAGGATTCCTCAGGCGGCTTTTATCTACAAACAGGCTGGGAGGGAGCCGCTTTTCATTCTTCATACGGAGCTTTCCTGGCTAATTCTGCAGAGGGAGAAGCGGCCCTCGGTGCTTCCCACCACTGCATTCCCACAAAGCAGTGGTGTGCAGTGTGGAACGGAAGCAAGCTGCAGCTAAGAGGGCTTGTGAGCCTGAAGGGAAGAGGCAGTATCTCTAGTGGTTAAAGCCAGGGGCTGAAAGTCAGGACTCCTGGATTGTATTCCCAGATCAGGAAGGACGTGTGATCTAGTGGCTAGAGCAGTCAGGCCCTTAGAGGCAGCTGCCTGAGTCCTGGGGAGAAGGAGCGCCCAATCTACGTCCTTTTCACTCGCCCCCTGGCTAACCTAGGAGTAGCTTTGATGGGCTCTGGAGGGGAGCCACATGGTGCGGGGGATCCTGTAGGCTCTCCCCTGCTCCACCCCAAGCAATGTCACAGGAAAGTCAGCGGGGTTGCAGACTAAACTGGGGAGAAAAGTCAAGGCACTGAAAAGGGCATGTTGGGGGAGGAAAGAAGGAAAGGAGGAATCAGTCCACATGCCCCACATTGCAGTTCTGAGATCCAGGACTTGGTCTGTCTGAGAAACACCAGAATCCCGTCCTCCCCCAGGAAAAAACGTCATGTGGAACAATCCTGCTGTCTGTGGCCTGCAAAGTGCAGGAGGTCAGACTAGATGATCGTGCTGGTCCCTTCTGACTTTAGAGTCTATGAATCTTTCCCCTCATTGAGACCTCTGGTTCTGAGAGCTGATAGAGGGGAGAGCAGTGCTTAATTTGCACCAGCAGGGCCTGGCAGTTCAGAGCCCCGGCACCTCTGGGCCTGGCAGTTCAGAGCCCTGGCACCTCTGGGCTTGCTGCATCCGTTATGAATGTAAAAAAATTGCTTGAGCCCCAGCACCTCTTTCATTATAAATTAAGCACTGGGCGAGGGCCCTGTCCCCGCTGCATCCAGCACAATCTCTTAGCTGACTCAGCAGGACAGTGGGCTGAATTCCAGAATGGAGCCAGGTGACGGTTCTCTTCCCCGGCCCCTTCCACTCCCCTATGAGCTGTGCCACCCAGGAACCAGAGCTAGGGCTGGGGGAGAGAAAGGATGGTTAGGATATGAGAATGTGAGTAATTAATGGGAATGGCTTTAAAATGGAATCCCGTAGAACAGAGCCCATCCAAAAGGGGAGGAGACGGGGGGTCTAAACCCTCGAGTCTCATCCCCCTTAGAGCTACTTCTGATGTCCACCTGGATGCTCCAGTGAGTGCAGAACATACCTACGCCTTCTGCTGGCTGGCACGAACACGGCTCTGCAAAGGTCTGAGCCGAGGCCCAAGTTGGGAGCCCCGTGTCTCTCGTACCTTACCACAACGGCTGGGAAACCTTTGGTGATCTCTGAACCTGAGTTTAATCACTCCATGGCTTTCTCATCTGGGGGCCTTTGCCTTTGGGCTTGCTGACTTTGGCAGGCAGCAGAGCCCAGGTCTGGCAACCTGCAGGGCACAATGTGAAGACGTGTTTCTTGCAGTGATCCTACTCTCTGTGCTATGAAAATACCCTGCAGCCCAGGTGGAACGTGCTCTAGAAATGGCAGCTGAAGCCACAACCCCAGAGCACTTCCCTGCCCCCCGGCCCGGGGGCTGCTGCGCAAGTCTTGTTTATCTGGGCAGATCATTCTGCTGATCTGATCCTTTGGGGCCTGCCGCAAGGTGTGTTGTGCTTTGGATGGCATGAGGCCCATGTGCTGCCCGGGTCTGGGCTGAATGTTACAACACCAGCATCTGAGAGAAAGGAGAAGCTGCCCTGCCCTGCCCTGGCAGGTAATTCAAAAGCCCTGCAGCGTCAGTGTGGATTCCTCAAACAGGCCTCACTTGGGCAGTGGGGGCAAGCTTCCTGCATGCACCATCACGTTTACCGGCATGGCTGAACCACAGCAAGAGGGGCAGCTCATTCTCCATGGCCCATCCCCCCATCTCTGCTGGCCAATGAGGGGGCCAGTTACTGGATGCATATGGGGACTGGGCTGAGCCCCACCAGCCTAATTTCGCACCAGCAGCTTCCGACTGCTGCCCTAGTGGTAAAATGCCTCATTCTAAATCCCGCAGGCTTTCGCGGGAGTGCCCCAGAGCGGAAATCTCACTCTGAGACCTGCCAGAGCAAATCTTCCGCTTAAAAATCATAGTTAACAATCGTATCTTGGGCAGAACCACCCCTCCCCATGCACAGACTTCAGAATTTATAACAGGAGGGCGCTAAGCATCAGCTTCCCTTGAAGGAGCAGCCGTGTTAAGGACCATCACCAGTGCAGAGATTAAAACAAATGTCTGGTCTCCACTCATTCAGCACAGGGGGCTGGGCAGGTGAACAGGACATGATAAGCGATTCAATGAACCAAGTG